CTGTACCATCCTTTTGTCTGCCTTCCATCTTTTGTGCGGCAGTAATTGCCCTTAAGACTGGCTTAGGTTCCAGACCAAAGCTCTTTCAGATATGATCCTATTACATACTTGTTGAGTGAAGGCGCACAATCCTGTGTGGATGAAAGCCTGCGTGTGAGCTCATTTTTGCCACTTGCTCTGGAATCAACAGCTTTCAAGACAAAATGGACAATGCAATGATTTCAGAGCTGTTGACTGAGGCACAAGACGGCTTTATTCCACATGGAAAGTAAATTCAGTTGTGGTAGAGTATACACTTGGCACCTCCTTCCTTCATCTGAGTTATCAATTTTAGACTTCTTTTGGTTTCATGGTTCAATAATATAGGGGGTAATACAATGCATCATATTCACCTTGATTATTTCTACTGAAGTTATCGTCTGCCATTCCATTTTTATTTGGAGCTGCTCGTGTGCAAAATGTTTCAATATGCTCTGACTAAACATGTGGTAGGTGTACAGGTTCCCTTCTTTATTTTAGATTAATGCTGATAAACGGAACACATTTTTACATTTGCCTAACTTAAAATATGTCATAAGTTAACATTCCTTCACTCTTTACACATTGATTGGAGAATTTCCATCCTACTGAGATTTCTGAAGTCAAACTCTGAGACCTTGTTATTTTTCAGGTAGCTCTGGTAAATAAGTATCCTCCACTGCCTTTTTTATAACCCATCAATGCAGCTCAGAGACTTTGGTATGCCTCATGGCCACAACAACGTGATAGTTTTTTAAGTTCACAAAATATTCTTAAACTGTCACTTGCGCTGTTTCTATGACAACGCATACCAGTCAGAAAGCAAGAACTTAAAAAAACACCTTGACAAATAGATTTGAAAATGGTGAACTTAGCTTGTTTTGGAACTATAGTAAATTAAAAATACCTGACTTTACGGGGGAAGGTGGCTCAGTAAAAATACTGACAGGAACGTGAATTTGTATTTATTCGTTTTAAATGTGTGGGCGTAGGCGTTAGCAATCATAAGAACTGGAGGCTCGATTGTATCTGTACTTGGAGCCATGACATCTGATTCAAGGAGGAACTCTACGGAGTTGCTTTTCCTTAAGCATATTTCATTGAGCACAGTGTGAGCTGTAAATTAAATATGAAATAGAAACGGCATTTGTTCTTATGTGAGGGAAACTATGCGAGTCATGTTGAACACCTCTAATGATCAGAAAGGAATAAAAGGCGGTCAACTACTTTAATTCGACTTTGTATCAAACTTTTCTTATCCTAAGCAGTAAGTAAGGATCTGTAGATTTAGCTTGCAGTCATTGTCTTGCCATTATGATATCAGGTGGATTTATTGGGGAAAAAATATAGATTCTGCCCGAAATTGTATCTTTTAATATATGACCCAAAAATGTCAGTTACTGCCACATTTTGACATTTTGTTGAGTTTATATGCCAGAATAGCTAGAATATGACTAATGAAACAGGAAAATGAGCTGTGTCCAAATGAAGAGCTTGGGGTCTTATAACCCTGAGCAGTTCAAAACTCGAGTTAAAGCTGGTAAAGGAGCTTTCTCTCTTCACTTGCATGAGGTCAAAGATCATCTCTCAGTCAAAAGTCAAGATCTCCTGATTAGACATTTTTAAAATTGAATTCAGATAAGTTTTCTACTTACGGATCTAAGAAATTCACCCTTATCCAGGATCATCCAGCAGGGCGAGGGTAAACAGAGTCCTACACCTCCAGCCTGAACCGAGACGCTGATTTCCATTTTGAACTGATTGGTAAAGAAAAAGGACTTTACAATGTCAACAGTTTTGTGTTAAATAGATCCCTCAGCTGCCATTTAATGGAGAGCTCCTTGTTATCTAATTGTTTGTGAAATGTCACTTGACAGGGAGCCCTTGTTGCATCCGGGATGTGATAACCTGAATCCTGTCTTGATCCTTGTGTCCTGTGATCATTCAAGCCGAACTGCCCTTCTTTCACCTTTCCCACTTCAGCGTAATGTCTGGAAATTATTCATCAAGTTCTTAACTGCTTAGGATCTTTTTTTTTCAAGTCAGCACTCATAGCCTGCGCAGCAGTAGAAATTCATTACTGTGTTTCACCTCAGGTGGCTGCTGCATGTGTGCATAATTTCATTCTCGCATGCTGGTACCTCACCCCTTAAAGATCATTTCATTTTGAACATTTTTCCGGAGGCTTGGTGGGTTTTGCTGAATGCCAATAGGGGTTGACTCTAGAGTAACGTATCAGTCAGGTCATGCTTTGGCTCTCTAATGTTGTGTTGTAGATCACAGTTTCCTTTACAAGCCATGTTTGGTGCTGGATTTTCACAGCGTACCTGAACACTAAAGTATTTTAAATTGACTTTTTGTATGCAACATTAAATCATCGCTTCCCTTTTCTCTTCCTCCTCTGTCCCATCCCCTCTGTGGTCTGCAGACTGACTTGCACCTATGAGACAGTGGATTGAACTTCGGGTGACAGAAATGGAGCAAAGGTGATTAATGGGTTTTCCCTCTTTCTGCGCAAATTAGCGGGACTGGCTGGAGCGCTGGTCATGGGTGCCGATATAATGAGGGTCAGTAGGGCAGAGTGGGACGGAGGACAGGAGGGGCACGGTCCTCCTGAGCTGCTGGCACTGCAGCCCTACTGAAGACCAGAGCGGCCAGAGAGGACACACAGTTGCCATATTTGATGTAACACTGATTAACCGTACAAACCTTAACCTTCACCGGCTGTAATTTGGGCCTCTCGCAGTACAGCTGTCAGTCAGACCGGTCACATATTTGAACTTTTCCCGTCTCCACATCATTATCTGGTTGCCATGGACCACCACTCTGTGTGGATTTCTTTTATCGTTCGCTTGGTCATTGAAAGGCAACGCTAAGTTTAAAGTTTCGGTTCCTTTAAGACATTTTACAATAAAATGCTCAGGTAATATCTTGCAATTAACTACTGAGTTTACGCTTGAATGTTCCCCCACCCTGTGTGATGTAAGGGCATTAACTTGCCGTGGCTGTTACTGACTAGCTGAGCCTCTTCTTTTTTTTTTTCTTCCGTACAGATTAATGTCTTTTTTGATGGTTTACTAATTAGCAGGGGGACATTAAACTTTTGACAGGGTAGCCCTTTGTATTCCGCATACCAATACAATTATCTGGTCTAAACAGGGTTTTTGAAAAAACAAACAAATGTTCTCACGCTGCAGGTATCATTAGAAATGAGTCATGTTTGCAGTAGGGAGAAACACGAGACAGAGATAAAGGGGATAGTTATTAAAAGAAGCTGCAGTGCAGGCATGCAGCACAGAATGACAGATTTTGAAGAATGGATAAAGATCTAAGGGGGGAGGAGGGATTCAGTTGAACCCCACTGATCCTTCTCTCCTTTGGGCTTATTACTAGTCTGCTTGATACTGGATATTTTGTCATGCCAGTGTAATTGGTTATATATATATATTTTTTTTTAAAGTTTTTTATGGATAGATGGGGAGAAATGTTGTAAATGTCAACAAGAAGTCAAAAAAGGTCATTTGTATGATATATTTTCACAATTTAAACTCTTACCTAAATCATTCTGTCCAGCCAGTTAGTGTGTCATTTATCTGAGTAGCCCCATAATAATAATGAGGGTTTTTATCGTCCAACATCAGGACTACATTTGATCTCCCAATATCCCGCTGCACGTTGAGTCAAAACATTTCAACCACATTAATAGATGTCTGTAGAACTGCCTGCAGCCATTTAACCGGGCAGCCTAAGCATTCAGACTTGTGTTTAGTCATGTAGATCAGATGACATGAAGTATTGTACTTACATACTAATAGCTTCTAAAGGTATTCTGCATTTGCTGTATTTACTTGGATCAGGTTAAGATTATAAAATGACACCAAATAACAAATGTTTTGGGAAAAATCAAATTAAAATTCTCAGCTTGACTTGTCATTTTAAAATGCCTGAAACCATCTTTTCAAATGCAAATTGTTCTGTAGAGGGATAAAAATTCAAACTACGTATATTGTGCGAGTTGTCATAGTCTTCACATATTTAGTGATGGGCAATTGTATAAACACTTTTTCCCTCGGGGATGAAAAAAACAACAACTTTTTTTTCCTTTCATGCTCTTCAGCATTTCCAGGCAGAGAATTCAGTGTGTGCTCTTGATCAAAGTGAGAATGAGACGCAGTGCTGTCAGGAATGCTCTTTACTCTTCTGTTACCTTTTTTCATACTTTCCTGTTTTTATATTTTTTCCATTTAAGAATTCATTTGAGACACATTGATGCCTCCCATTGTAAAACTGACAGTGAAGCACGGATGTCTTGTATGTAAAGAACTAAAGCTTTGTGTGATTTACAGATGAAAACTTTCACTCTCGACCTCACCGTTCAAGGTAGTCTTGAGAGAGAAATTGCATCAGTGCCTTTTGTGATAAAAGATGATTCAGAGCCTTGAGAGCTATCGGATAAAATGACTGGAACAAAAAAGGTGGATACAAATTTTCTACCTAAAAAAAAACATTTAAAAAAAACTTTTGGGAGGCCTAATACTCTATTATTCATTTACAGCAAATATAGTGATAATAGATGGTTGAAATAAGCATCTGCACCTTTTTGTAAATGTAGACTACAAAAATCCCATAGATCTGTTAATAAAATGGCACATGTCATACATCTTTTTCACTAAACTTTTCCAACTTTGCCCTAAACTTGTAATGCTAAAGATGCAGCAAGAGGACTTCCTCATCCTAAATATAGATGTTTTAGTGTTATTTAAAATAGGTGTTTTCTGTAAAGCATCCTTTTAATACTTTTGATACTGAACAACTAATCAGCTCTTTTCTCTTTCCGAGAATGGCTTTTTTTTGTGGTCATTCTTTTATGGATGGCTTTATTGGAAAGGCTGCAGAGAGGCTATAGACTTCACAGCTGGGGGTATGTGAAGGGCAGGGGCACTTACAAGAGAGAGGACAACCTACCAGGCTATATATAAAGGCCCCCTGTGCTGTTTTTATTTGAATATAGTACATAACTATTTTCAAAGCTCATCAGAAAAATCCAACACACAGTGGAAAATGAGATTCAGTGTTTTAATTTCTCAACTCAGCAGTGACATGGTCTGAGATGTTTCTGTCATGTGACTCGACCAGAGCAGGGTTAACTAAAATTAGGATGATGGGTCTTAAAAACAATTTGGCTGTTAGTTTCTTTGTTGTTCTGTTCGTGGCCGCTGCTTTACTTTCCATAGTGATACATGTGATGGATGTCAATTCTTCTGTTGTAAGTCGTCATGGGATCCATCACTTTATTCTTATCCGTGGCGGTGTTGAATCGAACGTCGTGGTACATCCCAGTCTGCAGCATCTCCTCTGAAAACTTGTGCGATATCACTTTATACTTAGTCTGAAACACACAAATGCACGTTTTGTGTTTTTTTTTTTCTTTCATTCCAACTGTTCATTTTAAAAATGGTAAACTTGATCTATTCATCATACTTTGTGAATTAGTTTGCCGCTTACCTGCATTTCATGAACTGTTGGCTTGTTGCTGCCGTATGCCTGATTTGACGTTCGATAAAATGCAGAAGTCTTTTTCTGACTGAAACACAATAGGCATGTAGGTTTTAGTTGTAAAACGGATGAAAAAGAATATTGGATGAAAAATAAAATCACACTTCACAAGTTTCATCTAAACTGAATCGTTATCAGTGGTAATTGGAACATTTTACAAAACCAAAGAACTGTTTCCTGTTGCACCACAAAAGACATTCATTCATTTTTCTAAAGCTTTTTCAATCTATCGTTCTAAACAGAGGCTCACAGACCACTCTCTCTACAAACTAGATCCTCCTCTAAGGCTTTCAGAGCTATTTAATATCTCCATCAGGCCCCAGCTCTGCACCAAGGCCTCCTCCACAGCACAGGCGTTATATAGTTCTGATTTAAGCACACATTATTTTCTCCTCAGTTGCTTTAGTCAGCAGTTCCACAAGTACAATCGAAAGCAAAATAACTATCTCATTAAGATTACTGCAAGTCTTACCAAGACTGCTTCAAAAGGACCAGTAGTTGTCTACTTTCTCTGAGACTAAAGTCAGATGGCCTACAATTGATAATCAGCTTAATATCGTTAGAAAAGCCTCCCTATAAGACTGTACTGTAACTGTAACCATGAAAACTCTCAGGATTGTTGAATCTATGGGGCAGTTTGGGATCTGTCCTGTAAAAGTTGCAGGTCTGAACATTCTTATCCTCCATGTCTGACCGGTCAAATGACAACTGTTGCTAACAACACAGCAGTTACCATGGAGACGAATGCCAGTCATTGGCTGTCTCTATATACGTCTGTTGAGGCACAGGAAGGGGCAGGAAGGCAAGTTTAAAAACATTTAGAAAAACGGTGCTCAATAGTAAAAAGGTATCATGAGTTACATGTCCTCAGCTTATCTTCAAACTTTGTTTCAGCAACTAAAGCTTAAAACGGGTCTCATCTTCCTTAAACTTTCCAAACAAGCAACATCTAAAATGATTATTAAGTAGATGTGAACTTATTCAAATAAGGTGTCTTTCTTAATATCATATTTTTTAATATCATGATATCTATTATTGGAAAGGCCTGTTTTGTCTCTTTAAATTTTTTGTTTCTTTTCTTCTCTTTTTGGGTTGACTATAAAAAAAAAACTACATAAAACACAGGCTAACAAGATATAAGTAGGGAGGGGTAATGAGACATCATTTTGCAACACAGTACTATTGCAAAAGATACGCAACAGAATTCATCATTCTGTGATTTGGATTTTGGAGAAAGTGCAAGAGAAAATTACATGTCACATGACACTGAGAGCCCTACAGAACACACACCTCTGTTGGGTCCTCTCAGAATTTCAATGAGGGGCTTGTAGTGCTTTTTTTTCTCTGATTTTGGATCCATCATCTGTGGCGATTTAAATTCTAAAGCAAGAAATTAAGTGAATGAAGTTAAATGTGTGACTGTTACCATAACAGCTTCTGGTTTAAATTGCATTCTAAGATTCATGAGAAATATTGAGGGATAGATGTTTGTGATTTTAGAGTCTCTGTATTTTCCATTAAGTGGAAAAAGGTTCAAATACATTATATAGATCTGTTTCTGAGTAGTTGCTTAAAAGAACAAACAAACAAATGAGGCTTGACTTACAATGGCTTGATTTTTACATTATACAGTTTATTCACAACTGCAGAGTCCAAAATGTGCCAACTTCCTTTTCATCTTCCTGACACAAAGGCACACCAGCCAAGATACTTTGGATTTTTTTAGCACAGAAGTGATCTATTAGAAATATGACTCTTTTTGAGAGCAAGACTTGATCTCAGAACGGTTTGGACTGCTCTGCTCTGTGTGGTGAAGGTGTTGTTTTAATGTTGAACTGAAATTTGATTCTCTGGTAGTTTGATCTGGGTTCAAATGAAAACATGGAATTATTATTAGATAGGTGATGGCCAATGCAAACTGTTAGTGGTCGCATGAAGGAGCATCAGCAACACAAAAGACGAAGTCGATATAATGCAAATGTGACTACATGTATATTCAACAATAACCCACATGAGAGTACAATACATGATGTTCCATATGCTTCACCCGGGCTTTTGAATAACAACGATGAATGCGCATATTTAAAGGTAACGAAGCTAAGTTAGTTGTTTGGAAACTAATGAATACATGTGCCGATGTTTTTCACAAAGGATGAGTCATCTATTGATCGAGAGCCATAGCAACCATATTGGCCCTCTCAAGGACGCCACATTTGCTCTTTTTTTTATATATATATATATAACAATATGTGTATAACAATATGTGTGTGTGCCATTCAAAACTTTTCTGTCTGTGTTCACGTTAGTGTGAGTCTGCTTTGTGGGTTTCAGCATGATTCATTATCAAGCAACTGCTGTTCATCTGGCAGTTAGATGAATTTGTTAAAGCTCAGCAGCCATTTGTTATTGTGAGAGGGAGCGCAGGACAACTGTAAATGGCTGGAATGGATGAAGCACCCAATGAAGTGTTTATCAGCCCAGTTGTTTCATCTGCGCCCTGTCTAGAAGTGTTCGACCATTTATCTACGCGTGACGCGTTTAGGCTGCTTATGCGGGGTGTTGTTGGGCTTGTATTACACAACAATATTGTTATTATTATACAACCGTTTTCGATGGGATCTAATCTAATAATTAGGTCAGCCTATTCATTTAATTTTTTTTTATTTCGTAGTTTGAATTCGGAAATAAATCCTGAATTGTTCTGTTCTGTGAAGCTGATAATTATATTGTGATGTGGTTTTGTTATGGCAGCAAACATCCACAAGCACATTTTCGTCTAAAAAGTTTTCGCTGTGGCTGCGTGAACAGGAAATTTGTACAATTCATGTATTTTTCAACATGCGTGCAACTGTTGTTTGTGTGTGTGTGTGTCTGTGTGTATGTATGTATGTGTATATATATTTCTATATCACTAACCTTCATCAGGTCTTCACCAGACCAGTTGAAGATTCAACAAAGAAGATCTGTTCACTTATTTCTCTCATCTCCTGAAACTCTCTCATTTTGCTCATCCACCACCAGCATCTAGATTCCTTGAGGGGAGAACTTTTTTTTGCCCCCAACTTTTTCTATACTATCACCATTTGGGTTGATGAAAAACTTGAAGGCTTAGTTTAAAAAAAAAGTATCCGTCTGCGTACAATGAACAGCTCAAATAGGCTTTTTTCTGGCCGTTTCATTCATTACAACCACAAAGAACTCTCTTCCCAGGCATTATAATTAGTGTTTGGTCCGAAGCATGTCGTTTTGAATAATCAACATCCTGCACAGCCTGTATTATGCAGACTATAGGTATGACAACAATCAAAACCTGGCTTATGTCTGTTGATCTGTTGATTCATGATAGATGGCTCTGGGTACTTCCCTCAATAATTTGCCAAGCATTTTTGAAGTTCCTTCTGTTTTCCAGACATTTGTATGCTCGACTTTCCAGATGGCTTCATGTCTGAAACCATCTGGCATGTCAGGTTAGTGTTTCATGCCCTGGATATCAGAACAGGTTGGTATTGAGACTGCATTTGGTACAAGCTGTACAATATTATTGGTGATACATAACAGTTTACATAAGCAGAGCAAGAAAAATCCAGTATGCAGGGTTCTGTTTTGTATTTTTTCTTTAGTAAAATGACAGGCACGTCTCCCTGTGCTATGCATTTACAGTCACTGGCATATTTGGTTGTTGATATGTGAGGGCTTCAATTTAAAAAACTGAGCTGGCTACAAAGTAACTTAGATGTCAAAACACTAAAAGCGAGGGTTAATGAAATTCAATTCCTGCCAACATTTTTTCCATAATGCACATCAAAGATTGTACTAAAAGCAACAGCAAGTTCTTATTAAGAGCAAGCTGTTGACTGAAATGGACCTCTGTTCGATAAAGTAATGGCCAGTTATTGTTTGCACATTACGTCCACTCTTGTTTTTTCTCTTTGATTGAACACTAACTGATAGATAATTAGTTCCACAGGTTGCACTTCACCATATACAGTGTGACAATGAGCAGGTGGCATGTTGTGATGCAGAAAAGATAACTGTCATTGGTTATGATGCCATGTATGAAACACTGTGTGGAAGGACTATATCTTTATTTATGTTCAGTTTGAATATTTTAGTGCTTCTTCTATTTGAAAAAAAAACCATTTTTATATACATATATATATACATCCTTCTCTTGATTTGCAACAATCTATTTAAGGCTTTCCTCATCCTTCTCTTGATTTTGCTTTCTTGTCCCTCAGTGCTTGGTGTGTAATCCCCTTGAAAAAGTCAGCAAATGAAACTGTGAGCAGCACTCTTCCAGAGGTCTCACTGTCCAATATCTGAACATTATGTAACAGCAATGAGCCTCAGCAAACATGGAAACAAAATGTGACCTTGGATTAGAACCTTGGCCTCTCCAGACTGTCCCCGGGTTAAAGCCAATGTTCTGGGATTATGTTAAACCCACATTCCACCAATATGACACACAAGATTATTTGATACTGCGTTTCCTGGGTAGAATTCAACACATGGAAATCTCAGGGGACCATGACATGAATGATTAATTTGTCCATTTGAGGATTTTGAGCCTACAGCCTCTAAGAGCTTCAGTCATATTGGGTTTTGTCAGATAGCGTACTACTAAAAAAAACTACTAAGTTGTGTCCTTTTAAAAATGTGATTCCTATTAGCCTTTAAAACATTATTCCATTTCTTGGGTTTCAGTGCTGCACATTCTTATTCTTCATTTAAAACTCCATATCCCTCATATCACTTACATCAGATGCTAAAGAGCACAGACTGAAATTCTAAACTCTGAGTCATTTTAACACTGCACAGCTTAACTGTCATCTGTGAGCGGCGTGACTCACACAGATGACTATCATTTATGTTGAAAGCTTAATTGATATTCAAGAGTTCTTATTGAGTGTTGCATCTACCAACAGGAGTTCTTGGTCAGAAGCACTTCTGTTTCCCTCACAAGGTTCTCGCTTAAAATGAAAAACCCAGCCATAATTACAGCGGGTGCTATTTCCCTATGAGCGTTAT